AAATATATATTATATACATAAAAAAAAAATATCAACATATATTCAATAAAATCAGCGAGATACACTGACTGACTGATTTGTACTTTTCAACCCATTCTTTTTCAGAGACAGAGAGACACTCACTCTGTGATCTCCTCAGTAACCGTGTGCTCCACCTGCAGACGGGAGTTGACCTCGATGAAGTAATGTTTACCGTGTTTATCCACCAGGAACTCCACTGTGCCTGCATTCTCATAACCGACCTGAGGAAAGAGATGGAACGGATTGAGCTATGAGAATTACAAACTTTTCAGAGTTTCACAGGCACAATTTACATCCTAATGAAAAATAAAAATTTAAAATACTATGAAATTAAAAAAAAAAAAGTTTTTATTTAGCACACGGTGTGATGCCCTAGTGTCACAGCAGATGTACTGTACATGTGTATTGTATGTATGCAGATAAAGTTGGACATAAGCATATATATATATATATATATATAAACTAAATATTTAGTTAGTTCAACATTTCTCATTTTGTTTAATTTAACTTTAAGTACTAAAATAACTAAAACTAAATAAACTAAAATAAATAAAAATGAATAAAAAAAACTATATAGACATTAATTAAAAAATATAAACAACAAAATGAATCAAATTGAACTCAAATTAAAGTGAAAACAACATATAAAAATTAAATCTAATTCAAAATATAAAAAAAATAAACTATAATAGTAATTGAGTCAAGAGTATGTATTGCTGTCAGGATGCTGGATCTTTAGGACTATAAATGTTTTTAATGAAGATCAGACTGACCTGCACTCTCTCTGGTCTGATTTATATTCAATCGCGATCAACAGGAGTTTCAGCTTCACGTAGCAGAGCCTGCAGAGAAACAAAAGATCAATTAAAACTAAATTACACATAATAGATGAGCAATATTCACATTTATTAGACATTTGTTTCCTTATTTATTTATCTCATTTATATCTATTTACATCAGCAACTTTACAGCCAGAAACGTATCCGAATAATCAAGCAAGATACAAAACCTGTCAAAAGTTTGGACACACTTGAATTTGTCTCTCATGTTCTCAAACTTGAAACTTTTGCTTATATGTAGTTTTGTAGTCATGTGAATTTCTTTGCAAAACAAAAGTTTTTCAAAGTGCAGCGTCGCTCAAATATTGTTTGCATTTCACTACATCATTCCCATACTTCAATTTGTGTTGTTTTAATGAATTTACTCTTATACTAACATTTGGAAAAGAGTGGAAATAACCGCACTCATCATACTTACTCACAAATGGTGGGGAAGGACAAACCCACGAAAGCACTGGACAGATACTCCGTGTACATTTCATTGGCTACTCCCTCTAAATAATACTTCTGCCACGTGTCTTCTTCAATCTAAACGAAAGAAAGTTGTGAGTTTCATGCTCAGGATTCAAAAGGTAATGATCCAGCTGTTCATGTGTGGACTGACCTTGATGTAGGACCTCATGGAGAAGAGGTTAGCCAGCATGGTGGACAGACCCTGTGCCAGGCAGCTCTGGGCGATGAAGCCCAGCTTCAGCTCGGCGAGGCAGATGGCGTCATCGCCTTCCTTCCAGTTCCAGCTCGGGATGTTGAGAAGATGAGCCTGGAGAAGACGAGGACAGAAAGCACATGCATTCAAGGCCTTCTAACTCTTTTGAGATAAGATTTTGTTGTACAGTGTGGCATACTTGAAAATCCACAACTCAAAGCTCCCTCCTTAATTCATCCAGAACATTTACTGAAAACAAACAGCTTGTGATTCTTAGTTTTAAAGTTACAGTAGAAACAGCTTGAAAGCTTCTAAAGAACACGAAAAGGGACAATGGTCATGAAAAACTACATTTTGGCAGTTTGAATAACATTACAAGTGCACTTAAGACTGTAATATATGGCAATATGGAAACTCTCACCTTATTGTGGTACTGCAGCATCTGTGTAATGATTCGGATCTTTGGATGGTAGTTTTTAATGGATATCACCCTAAGAAAAACACACATCACACTTTAAATCTTCTGAAATCCATCAAAAGTTGTTGATATTTGAGTTGCAATAATTATTTTGATTATCTGGGAGGTTTAAATGAAGTTGGCACACTGTCCCACCTCATGATATTGGATGCATCTTCAGCGTCAGGATCTGCACAGTATTTATTGGCTAAGATCAGACAGGCATCGGCCGACTCAATCTAGAAAAATGAGATTTTAAAAAACACAGATCTAATTTTAAAAAGTGAATAAACTTTACAGGATGTAAGTAAATGGGCTAAAATAATTGCTGTTTGCAGCGCTCCCATATTTCTGTCCAGTGAATTTTCTTTTCCATGAGCTCAGATGTTTATTACTGCATAAAGATTTTTAACACCACTCAGACAAATCAGAGCGATTGCTAGCAAATCATTCAGACCAATTAGTGAATCAACTCAAATGACTCATGAAAAACAAGATTCACTCATGAATTAGCTAGTATTCTACCCCAGTGTTATTTTTTTTTATTAGATTTTATTTTTAGATTTTCTATTTTTTACTTTAATTTTAGTCAAAGTAAATGTTGGTGTTTTTATCTTTTTTTTTTCTTCTTTTTTTTTTAATACCGGTAGTTTTATTTTAGTATCAGATTTTTTTGTTAATATTTTGAATTAAATTTTATTTTAAAATTTCGTTTTCATTTTAATTTTAGTTCAAGTTTTAGTAATTTTGCTGCATGTTTTTGTCATATTAGTTTTTGTTTTCTTTAAATATGTCTATTAGTTTTTATTAATTTGTATTTATTTACTTTAGTTTATTTAGTTTTAGTTGTTTTAGTTCTTCAATTTAAACTAAACAAAAACGATGTTGCCTTGGCAACTAGCTGGAATAAAATATATATTTTTTAATATTTTATTTTATTTTATGCCAGTTAACATTTATTTTATTTCATGTAATGAAAATATTTTAATGGTTTTAGTTTACTATAATAACCATGCTTTACACAAGAACAATATCTGATTAAATATTTTAGACAGAGCATGACTAGAAAAATGTACAGTATAAATTTCCATGATTTTTTATGATCATATAAATTTATGTGACATTTCTACACTGTAAAAAATTATTTGATCAATAAGTCATGGTAACATTTTTCCCACTAATTTGTCAAAGCAACTTTTAGATTTTTCAAGTTATACAAGATTTAATTAGATTTTTTAAAGTCAGTTTAAAATAATTTAAATTGAATTCATTTGTACAGACAATCTGATTACTTAAAAAAAAATAAGGCACCAACCAAATTTGTTTTACAGTGCAGGTAATACACACATATTGCTCTGATATTTCCAGATTTTCTATGATTATGAGCAGGCTGCAGACTGTAGATCAAAGCCATACCTTGACTCGAGCGAGATCGTGAGGGTTGAGGACGGATCCCTGGTAAAACTCCACCTGTGTGAAGTGTCTCTTGAATAAGGCTTCCAGCTCAAGATTAGGGGAAATACTGAAAACACACACACACACACACACAACGGCACTGTGAGACCAATACGTTCATCCCACAAAACAGAGCAGCAGGAGCGTTCTTCAAAACGTCTTTTGTGCGGATGAAACCTCCATTCAATTTCAACATTGTACTTACTTATGGAGAAAAACTATTTCTACATTGACATCATCCCTGTCCTTGTGTAGGAAGTCTTTGAGGAAGTTGGAGACGCTCTCCAGCGTGATGTGACCGCAGACGACTATATGCCTGAGAAACGCAACGGGTGAGTATTCATCAGAAAACATCAGAGGTGATCAACAAGAGAGAAAACCACCCAGATCACACGTTACACAACATTTAGCCTTAAAATCATACAAAATCAGACTGAAATCATGTGAAAGGAACCCTGAGCATGTGCTAGTTTGAAGGGAGTCTGGGTGGGTTTTCTCTGGAGGAACTGGATTTATACTGTAACAACAACAAACCTTGTCTTAAGTTTACTTAAAACAACAACAACGAATGAGTTTAAAGCAGTAACAGCAATGCGGTGCCACTTAAGAGTTAAAGACCCCATAAAATCACTATTCAGACATTAATCAACATTTAATGAGCTAAAAATCTGAATAAAATCCGAAGCCATAACGATAATCTCAAAAGATACATTTTAAATACTTGTATTTGCTAAAATGAGCATATACTGTAGATCAGATCACCCTGGGGTGCCGTCTGTCGAGAGCAGGGGTGCAGTGTAAAAAAGCATTTTTTTATATATTTAAATTGCTAAAATGTTCAAAAAAGCATCTATTATATAATATCCATTTCTGATGTCGCCAATAATTAGAGATGCACCGAAATTTCGGCTGCCGAAAATTTTCACTTTCACGTGGTGTGACGCTCTGCGTATTATCCGCTCTATGCGTGTGCGCTCCGCTCAGTCGCTCCACTCAATTTTCTTTTCCATGAGCTCAGATGTTTATTACTGCATAAAGATTTTTAACACCACTCAGACAAATCAGAGCGATTGCTAGCAAATCATTCAGACCAATTAGTGAATCAACTCAAATGACTCATGAAAAACAAGATTCACTCATGAATTAGCTAGTATTCTACCCCAGTGTTATTTTTTTTTATTAGATTTTATTTTTAGATTTTCTATTTTTTACTTTAATTTTAGTCAAAGTAAATGTTGGTGTTTTTATCTTTTTTTTTTCTTCTTTTTTTTTTAATACCGGTAGTTTTATTTTAGTATCAGATTTTTTTGTTAATATTTTGAATTAAATTTTATTTTAAAATTTCGTTTTCATTTTAATTTTAGTTCAAGTTTTAGTAATTTTGCTGCATGTTTTTGTCATATTAGTTTTTGTTTTCTTTAAATATGTCTATTAGTTTTTATTAATTTGTATTTATTTACTTTAGTTTATTTAGTTTTAGTTGTTTTAGTTCTTCAATTTAAACTAAACAAAAACGATGTTGCCTTGGCAACTAGCTGGAATAAAATATATATTTTTTAATATTTTATTTTATTTTATGCCAGTTAACATTTATTTTATTTCATGTAATGAAAATATTTTAATGGTTTTAGTTTACTATAATAACCATGCTTTACACAAGAACAATATCTGATTAAATATTTTAGACAGAGCATGACTAGAAAAATGTACAGTATAAATTTCCATGATTTTTTATGATCATATAAATTTATGTGACATTTCTACACTGTAAAAAATTATTTGATCAATAAGTCATGGTAACGTTTTTCCCACTAATTTGTCAAAGCAACTTTTAGATTTTTCAAGTTATACAAGATTTAATTAGATTTTTTAAAGTCAGTTTAAAATAATTTAAATTGAATTCATTTGTACAGACAATCTGATTACTTAAAAAAAAATAAGGCACCAACCAAATTTGTTTTACAGTGCAGGTAATACACACATATTGCTCTGATATTTCCAGATTTTCTATGATTATGAGCAGGCTGCAGACTGTAGATCAAAGCCATACCTTGACTCGAGCGAGATCGTGAGGGTTGAGGACGGATCCCTGGTAAAACTCCACCTGTGTGAAGTGTCTCTTGAATAAGGCTTCCAGCTCAAGATTAGGGGAAATACTGAAAACACACACACACACACGCACACACACACACACACACAATGGAATGTATTCCAAAGGGAATTGTACTTACTTATGGAGAAAAACAATTTCTACATTGACATCATCCCTGTCCTTGTGTAGGAAGTCTTTGAGGAAGTTGGAGACGCTCTCCAGCGTGATGTGACCGCAGACGACTATATGCCTGAGAAACGCAACGGGTGAGTATTCATCAGAAAACATCAGAGGTGATCAACAAGAGAGAAAACCACCCAGATCACACGTTACACAACATTTAGCCTTACAATTATGCACAATCAGACTGAAATGAACCCCGAGCATGTGCTAGCTTTAAGGGAGTCTGGGTAGGTTTTCTCAGGAGAAACTGGATTTAATTGGTGTATACTGTAACAAGAACAAACCTTGTCCTAAGCTTACTTAAAAAAACAACAACAAATGAGTTTAAAGCCATAACAGCAATGCAGTGCCACTGTAAAAAAGTATTAATTCTTTCTGTTTGTTTTGAATCTCCAAAGCAAAGGTTCATACAGTCAAACAGAACAAACAAAATACCGCTTTGCGATGAACATACAACAGTACAACCACCGCTACACGCCGGAAGCCCAAGTGTCACAAGTAGCACGAATCAGCAAGCGATGAGCGACTCACACGACGCGACAAGCAATGAGATGATTTGTGCCGTTTGACCCCAGACCCTCATAATAATACTACTTCCTGTGGAGAAGCACCTCTGACGTCACAGGAAGCACTACAGCGACTTCCTGTGAGGTCAGAGTCTGCGCTCCTCCACGCCAGACCCTGCGGAAAATAAGAACCTATTCATTAGAGGTTCGGTGTCTTCAATCCTTTGACTTACTTTCTTCCTTGGGTCGAGTTATAACTCCCTCCATATTTCTTCCGATTAAGGATGAGAGCAGCGATTTCAGGCACGTAGCGAGCAAACATTGCCTACATGCATGGGACAGAGAGAGAGACGAGCATGCAGACGGGCCGAGCGCACTGAGCGAGCACAGCCCAACCCGCGGTACTTACTTTCTCCCATTTACTGCACTATAGGAACCACCATATTTCTTGCGGTTTCCTATTAACTCTATGATTTCAGGAACGTAGCTGGCAAACATGGCCTGGAGGAGGAGACAGGAGACACAGGACAATAGAAGTCTGCCAATGCTTCTACCTTCAGTAGAAGAGAGGTTTCATATCAGAAATAAGAGCCTTGAAGGGATAGTTCAGCCGAAATGAGAGTTAAGACGTTTGCTCACCCTCATGTCATTACAAACCCATATGACTTTCTTTCGTCAGCAAACAAAAGATGCATTTATAAATAAACAATGAGCACCTCGTTGCAATATAATGAAAATGATGGATGACTGAGCTTTGAAAATACAAAAAGAAAAGCATCATAAAAGTAGTCCATACAACTTGTGCTCTATTTTTCAAGTCTTCTGTTTTCAACTAATGGATAAGACAAAAATTGAGCTGAATTGGATTAATTTTGCAACATCGACAGTGTTATTGAACTGAACTGAATCAAGACTCGAGCTGAATAACGACACTATTATCTTATGTAGAGAATTGAACTCGGTTCACAAACTGATCAACTTTACACAGTTATTAAACTGAACTAGGGCTGTAAATATCATTAAATTAATACAAATTTATTTTTTACATTCAACATTTTTACATGTATTTAAAAATTAATATTAAAATAATGCTTTATTATTAATATTTTATTAATTAGTTTACATGAAAAAAGATTATGGAAATAAGTTGGTCTTAAAACATTCAGATAAGCATTACATTTTCTTTAAAAAACACTGATAGTTGTTTCACACACACACACACACACACTCACACACACACACACACACACACCACCAACCAAATTTATCATTATACATGTGGCATCTGTGCATTAATGTACATAATATACAATACATAATACATCAATATTAATATTAAAATGAATGTTCATTTTTATTTATAAAATGTTGTATATAATTCATTTTATTCATATTAATGAATATAATTATTTTTCATATATTTAAATAATTACATTTGTATATAATATCAATATGAAAACAATGTTTCAACATGAATATTTTATTACTTTATTTACATGAAAATAAATCATTAGGGCAATAAGATGGTCTTAAAACGCTCAGATAAGTAGTGGATTGTCTTTCAAAAACACTTATAGTTGTTATATATTTTGCTTGTATCACACCAACAAAATTAATAATTTTAAATGGAGCAAATTGGAAAGATCTGTGCATTAATGCAGAATCCGTCTCATATTTGAAGAAGTCCGTATCACTGATTCTCATATTTTCCTGTTTTATTATTATTTATTTATTATCTGTATTGTATAAAGCACTATAGCAATAAAGATGACTTGATTTCTGAAGTCATATGATCGCTTGTCTGAAGAACAAGTCATATGGACTGTAACTTTGGTCCCCATTCACTTTCATTATACGGAAAAGCAGCCAAGATGTTCCTAAAATTGACCTTTTCGAGTTCCACCGGAGAAAGAAACGACATGAGGCTGAGTAAACGATGACAGAATGATCATTTTAGTACAAACTATCCCTTTAAGTGTTAAATACTGGAGCTTTAAAATGCAGACAGTGAGAGTCAGAATGCTTGTATACATGCATTGCCCAGAATTTAGAGGCTGGAAGGTTTTAGGATAAAAGTAAAAGCATTCTGTTTGACAAATATCCCTGTTTGAAGGGATATCAGTGTTGAAGAGAAGAAAAGCCACAGATGTGGCTCAGATCTGCTGTTTTCAGAGGGAAAACGGTGATGTAAAGGAGGAAACCTCAAGAGCCATGTTTAGTCCAAACAAACTCGTACGCCGGGCTGATATGAGCACGACTGTCACCTGTAACACTGCTGCACTGTACCTTTTACATCATTTACATTATTACAGGAGTTCATAAAACTGCCTTCCTAAAGACTGCAGATCTCAAACATTACAGTACATACTACAATTAATAACAAAATCTATTTACAAACTTTATGAAAAATGATTAATATTAAAATTAATGTTAATTTGAATATATTTACAAAATACAATATGATAATTATTTTAGTATATTTATATAATTAGGCAGTGAACTGTCTTTCAAAAACACTTTGAAACACAGATTTTTATTGGAATTTATTTATTTATTTATTGTATTGTAACACATATACCTTTGTCTTTTGTGCAAATGCTACACGAAATGAGGGACCAAACAGACCAATCCTACTCATGAGTCAGGTGTATTAAATATTATTACAGGAGTTCATAAAACTGCCTTCCTAAAGACTGCAGGTCTTTACAAACATTACAGTACATACTACAATTAATAACAAAATCTATTTATTTACAAACTTTATGAAAAATTAATAATATTAAAATTAATGTTAATTTGAATATATTTACAAAATACAATATGATAATTCTTTTAGTATATTTATATAATTAGGCAGTGAACTGTCTTTCAAAAACACTTTGAAACACAGATTTTTATTGGAATTTATTTATTTATTTATTGTATTACACTGACCACATGAATCATAAATGGGGCAAATTGGAATGATCTGTGAATTAATGTGTCCTTAATTTATTTTATGTAGAAAATGTTTTCTAAAAGCATTACTTTACATAGTACAATTAATAGCAAAATCTATTTGTCTTTACAGACTTTATGAAAAATTATTAATAATAAAATGTTAATTTTAATATTTTTGTAATATTTTAAAATATTTTTTGTAATTAATATAATTGTGTTTATGTTTATATAGTTAAATTTGTATATAAAATATTAATTAAATAAATAATACTTTAATTAAAATAATGTTTTAATATTAATATTTTATTACTTTATTTATATGGAAAAAATCATTATGGCAATAAGCTGATCTTAAAACTTTCAGATAAGCATTCAATTGTCTTTCAAAAAGACCACTAACAAAATTAATCATTATACTGTAAATGGGACAAATAGAAAAGATCTGTGCACTAAAGTGTCCTAAATGTTTTTTAGAAAAGCACTGCAATTCATACTACAATTAATATCTATCTTTATAATCTATCTGTCTTTATAAACTTTATAAAAAAATTATTAATATTAAAACTAAAGTGTTTTAATATATTGACAAAAAATTATATACAATTTTATCCATGTTAACTGATATACATATTTGTATTTATTTCTATAATGAATAATAATAATAATAATATTAATAATAATTAATATGAAAATACTATTTTAATTTGAGACAGTCATATATGCATGATGTATGTTGACATCGTGACGGTGTGTATCTCTGCCCTTCATAGAGTTTGTTGGAGTTGGGGTGGGGTAAATTGGGTCGGGTCGTCTAAAACCGCAGTCAGTCATGATTTCTACAAACAGAATTACTTTGTACTCCCTAATGATGGTTCCACTTATCACATGAAATCAACAAATATAGCATTTGAAATATAGAAATACTTTTTAAAAATTACTTAAGAACCAAAAACACGCAATGCAGTACAAGCAAAAACACATGAAGATCTTTCCATCATGACAAGCAGAAGCTGGGAACGTTTGGATTGAATATTTGGATTGAAGCAAAATGTAGGGTTCGTTTTCCAGCTCTGGTTGTCAAGGATACAATGATTAAGGACCTGATAATTGGAGGCAGAAATGCAGGCTGTGGGTGAATTATTATGGGATTGCTTCTATTTATTTAGGCTTTTTACCAATCCTCCGAGAATGAAGAAGACCATGAAAAGGCGTCCGAGGGTTGTTTTAGCACAAACATCTCCATAACCCACTGTGGACATGGTTACCATGAGTAAGTACACACACTCCCAGTAGGAAAGCGGTTGGGAATTTTGGAAGTTTTCCCAAGGATCCCCTGAGTTTTCCACCTGAAAACACACCAACAGGCTCAGTATTTCTACTTAAGCTTTACCTAAGCAATTGTTAACATGAAATCAAAACTGATCCTATTATAGGAATAGTTCACCCCAAAATAAAAAAAATTGCTGAAAATGTGCCACCCTCACCCTCATCATTAGGATGAGTTTGTTTCTTCATCAGGTTTGGAGAAATGTAGCATTGCATCACTTGCTCAGCAGTGAATGGGTGCCGTCAGAATGAGAGTCCAAACAGCTGGAGGAAGCGCTATTATGGATTACGGACTCATATTTTAGTTAAAAACATCTTAATGCTGGATTTGTTTCAGCTTTTGTCTTCTCCAGATGTTAACTGATGGACTGGAGTGCTGTGGATTATTTGTGGATTATTGAGATGTTTTTATCAGCTGTTTATCAGCATTTCTCCAAATCTGATGAAGAAACTTTCATTTTCAAAGCAAATGTTTATTTTTGGGTGAACTATTCCTCTTTCTCAATACACAATCTTGGTCTTATTGTGAATGATTCATCAGTAGCTTTTCACCATCCAGTTCATTCCTGATGCGATTGACTTACCAAATGTATGAAGCCCGCTGCCGTCAGCCATGTGCTTATAAAGATTGAGCACAAATTCACCAACTTTATGGAGTTGCTATAAAAACAAATATTAGAAATACTCACATCAACGCACAACTGATACTCACATGAATCAACATTTTTGAACTAATACTGCACATAATTTTGAATTCAACCAGAGCATATTTTGGAAAGCCTGCTAAACCTTTCATAAAAAACAAAACATTTGCAAAAGAACAGAAATGACTCAGATGACTAAACGTTCTGCTGTATCCATAAACTCAAGTTCTTTGTATAATACTGGCCAATTTTAGTCCAAAAATCATTTCAGATTGTTTTGGCACAGTCTATTCAGTAGATTTCACCTCTCTCCCCACCTCCATTTGAATGAATTACAGTGAGATTATTCATTTTGTTGCACAATAAGCTCTCCTGGACATCTGCGCTAAAGCTTTCGATCTAAGCCGCAGGGAGACGGACAGATTTCTGAGCACAATGTCAAAGATATTCAAGCACGACTGGCAGAATAAAATAAAATAAAAAAATAAATAAAATAAAATAAAATAAAATAAAAACTGTAAGAAAAAAAATCTGTAGAAAAATGGAGAAGGTACTGGTCATTTTTGGCCAAGATATTTTCTATTAAGCCATTTCCTTTAACCGTAAATACAGGTGAAACAGCTGTGAAAAATACAGTAAATGTATCTATATTAATACTGTACATTATACCCTATTTAAACAGACTTTTCTGAGTGTGTAATATAATATAATAAAGATAAAATTGCAGTTAAACTATGTGTCAATTGAAGAATTTATACTTTTTATTCTGTAAAATCATGTTTTGGAAAAAAAAAGACAGCAAATCATCCTCTGTGAACACACACTTTAAAAGAATGACTCTAATGAAATCTACAAAGCACGATATATAAAAAGCAAATGTACCTAGATTATAAAATGTTATCAGATTCATAAAAAGTATGATTTTCATTTAAGATCAAGGATAACGCTAAAGAACATGCAGGTGAAGAATTATAAACAGCTATTTCCACATGAGTTCAGAAATCACATGCTGCACTTGAAGGGATTCTTACCTTGTTTTTAAGATATTTAAAAACTGTAATATTTCTGAAAACTGGATCAGCCTCAAGGCTCTTAAGAACCTCAATCCTGCATGAAAGAGCAGAAGCAAGTAAGAAACACACTTAAGACTCTCATGAAACAACATCGAGACGCAGAACACCATAACACACATTAAAACCCACAGAGAACCGAGTTCAGCTCGTACCTTTGAAGTGTTCGTCCATGTTTAACAACGACACTGATTTCATCAGCCCTAGACACAGTGTACATGAAACACATGTTGCACCTGTCAACATGTGTAATATACAACAACAGAGAATACTGCACGAAATATTGTATCCCACAATGCAATGCGCACTTGACTTTCGCTTGATGCACAACTAATGCATGACGTTTTTGACAGAACTTAAGAAAAAAGGTCTGCCTTTGTCCCTTGTAGTGCTCGTGGTTCGTTTTTATGCATTCCTAGTGGAATACTGATTATGAATGACCTTAACGAATGATTAAAAGGTTAAAACGATGTTTAAAACGATCTTCCAAAGATAAGCTCATAAGCTATGATTAAACAAACATGAGCTAAAAAATAAAAACAGCACTCATTCTTGAGATCTGGGACAAAACAGGTCACAAAAATGGGGAAAAAATCATGCATCAATTAATTATATTTAATTATTTGTTAATAATAATAATAATTATTATTATTATTTAGATGAATTTATTAAACATGTTCATGGGTACTCAATATATCAGATACAGAAAAAAATTCTTATAAATATTGACAAATGTAGTATTGAATGAATTAATGATTTCAAACTCATTTTCAGTTCAATCTATTGAATTTTCACTACAGTCATACAGAACATCTTACAATGCTGACACAATAACTATATTAACAAAAGGACATTAAGTCCATGAAAGCTGAATAATAACTAAAGCAGGATGATGTGACCCCGTGACCTCCTGTTCCCTATAGGAGGATTAAACTCCTTGAACAGACGCGGACATGAAGAACATAAGCTGCGCTTTGACCACGACTTAATTCATGAGGGAGATGAAGCATTAAAGCAGCCACATATAGGCCTCTTCTCCAATCAAAGTAGATTTGCAGAGTTTTATGTAGTGTTTTTCTGCTTTATTACCAGCAAAGGGCAGCGCTTTTACTACATTATGAAGGCCTTGTTCCAAATCACTCATGCTTGTAAAAGTTTACAAGAAGTTTGATGTATCATTTTTTTTTAAACTAACTAAAGTTTAAAAGTTTGAAGTCTGTAAGATTTTTTTACGTTCTTCTAAGAACCAAGGCTGCATTTATTTGATCAAAAACACAGTACAAACCACAAAAAAATAAAATAAAATCAATATTATTAAAATTTCAAATAAGTGTTTTCTATGTGAATATCTGTTCAAATGTAATTTATTTCTGTGATGCGCAGCTGAATTTTTTGCATCATTACTCCAGTCTTCAGTGTCACATGATCTTCAGAAATCATAATAATATGCTGATTTGCTGCTCAAGAAACATTTCTGATTATTATCAATGTTGAAAACAGTTGTGCTGCCCGATATTTTTGTGGAAACCGTAATACATTTTATTTTTCAGGATTCTTTGATATAAGCTGCGCTTTGACCACGACTTAATTCATGAGGGAGATGAAGCATTAAAGCAGCCACATATAGGCCTCTTCTCCAATCAAAGTAGATTTGCAGAGTTTTATGTAGTGTTTTTCTGCTTTATTACCAGCAAAGGGCAGCGCTTTTACTACATTATGAAGGCCTTGTTCCAAATCACTCATGCTTGTAAAAGTTTACAAGAAGTTTGATGTATCATTTTTTTTTAAACTAACTAAAGTTTAAAAGTTTGAAGTCTGTAAGATTTTTTTACGTTCTTCTAAGAACCAAGGCTGCATTTATTTGATCAAAAACACAGTACAAACCACAAAAAAAAAAATCAATATTATTGACTATATTGACAATATTATGAATTTTTTGCATCATTACTCCAGTCTTCAGTGTCACATGATCTTCAGAAATCATAATAATATGCTGATTTGCTGCTCAAGAAACATTTCTGATTATTATCAATGTTGAAAACAGTTGTGCTGCCCGATATTTTTGTGGAAACCGTAATACATTTTATTTTTCAGGATTCTTAGATTAATAGAACTTTTAAAAAACAGCATTGATTTGAAATTGAAATCTTTTGTAACATTATAAATGTCTTTACTGTCACTTTTGATCAATTTAATGCGCCCTTGCAGAATAAAAGTCTAAAAGGTTCTGAGCAGCTAAGCTTTAAAAACAGATTCGACGCAGTACTCAGACTTTCTCAGACAGACGGTGACAGTCGAAACAAAGAAATCCTGGAAGTCTCCTGAAGTACAAACTCAATCCCAAACTCGTTTAGAAAATGGGTTTCGACTTTCGACTCCAACAATTACTCCAAACAATTAAATGATTTTTCATTACTCTGAAAAATCACGAATAATCCAGTGAAAGTGCTTGTTCTGCGATTAATTAAACACACTTTGCAGGTTAACACTTGCTCCAAGAACAGCATCTGCGTCCTGCTTCATTACAACAGACAATAATTCTGACCTAAATTAGTGAAAACAGTCTGTAATTGCAAAATAATGAATGAACCTGTCTGTTTCCGAGCAGCTGAATGATTCCTGCTGTAGTTTTATGATTATTCAGAGGTTTAGATGTTACCTGAGCTGCTCATGCCCTCAAAAGACCTCAAACATGATGCATGAGAACAAACAATCAGCTATTTTAAACAGTAGGAGGATTTCTAGAGAACGTCGCTCTAATTCCCAGCACGCCAGAGATCACAAATCCCAGCGAGCTGCTGAATAAACTGATTTGGTGTAACGGATGGTGTGTTACAGATTGTGTTTACTGACAGATTAAGGGTAATGCATGTAATGTCCAGCAGGTGGCGCTGCAGACCTTTATCTAATAATATCTTCCGATGAGTTTTACATTTCTAACACCCTCTGGTCATAATCTGATGAAATAATCAGGTATTAAAGGTAAAGTGTCAGTAATAGGAGAGTGCTTTACCCAGCCAGCTCCTGTTCAGATACACGGACACAAACACGGGTGGGACGGTGAAGAAATCCACCACTGAATTCACCTCCAGCCAGAACCACAGCTTATCATTGGCTGCGATGAACTGCCAGAAGGCAGAAAAGAAAGACAAAACACGTCAGTCAACAAACGCATACAAATAAACCAGTTTTATAGTTAATTAAAAAATAAAAGTGTTTTTGGCAATTGAAATAAAGCTTAAATAAAATTAAATAAAATATAAATAAATACTAAAAATATAATAAAATATAAAACAAAAGTAAAAAAATGAGATAAACTAAAGTTAAAACTACAACTTAAATAATAATAAATAAAAATAAAATAAAATACATAAGTTTAAGTTGAAGTACTAAAATTACTCAAACTTAAATAAAAACAAATCAGAGCTGTACAGAAATATTTTTCTAATATTTAACTATTAAAAATGACAAAAATACAAAATTATAACTAAAACAAAATATGAACATAAAAGCTAATTCAAAACATTAAGAAATACACAATAGAATATAATTAATACTAAAATAACACTGAAATAAACTGAATAATATAATATAGTAATATTAAATATTAAAAATACAAATATTAGATGAAAAACCTATACTTAAATTTTTTTTAATGAAAATTAAGTTAATACTTAACTAATTAAAATGACAAAAAAATAACTAAAGCTTAAATTAAAATAATATATAAAAATAAAAGCTAACTCATACTATTAATAAATATATAAAAGTATATAAATAATACTAAAATAACACTGAAATAAACTGAATAATAAAATAATAAAATATTAAAAATATAAATATTAGATGAAAAGCCTATACTTAAAAAAATCTTCAATTAAAATTAGAAATACATGCGTTTAAACTTAAGTACTAAAATTACTAAATCTGGAATAAAAACAAACCAAAGATATACAGAAATATTTTTCTAATATTTAACTAAAAAAAATATCCAAAAAAAACAACTACAAAAACTTTAAGTAAAATTACATTATACCAATAAAAGCTAATTCAAAATATTAACAAATGGTATATAAAAAATACTCAAATAACACTGAAAAAAAAAAACGAATGGTAAATAACTGCATCTGTAAGTGTGTACAGTACATGACAAATAAACATACACGCAGTCCAAAGTACAAGAGGAAAAACACATTGAAGGCCATATCGATCTGCAGCCAGTAGTCCTTGTCGAAATGCTGACAGGATTCGATGGGTCTGTTTAAACACAGAAAAACAGACCGCAGTTCACTTTAATGAAGGTTCAGTGAAATACAGTATAAATCATTCAACTTTACTGCAATAACCTGCAAGTAAATACCGCATGTTTAATGTAAATGATCTTACACTAATTTTATACATTACACATTAAAAGTTTGAATCTTTAACATTTGCATTAAGCATTATTTCATTAAAGCATTGGCTGATCGATCAATACATTTTAGTAATAATGAATCCCCTCATTTCATAAAATTATAATGCAGCTCTCATTTAGACGTTAAATGCATCTTATTCCCGACAGCGAAAAGAATTAACATCATTATGAAGCAGAAAACCAATCAGAAATATTATGAATTATTAAAGCAATGATATTATGACTCTGATGTGTGCTATTATATGACATACAGTAGGTCCATGTTTTTTTATCCCCTGAAGGCAAATAGAAGAGTCTTTTTCCATGTAAATATTTACTGCTAATAACGGTCGGCACATGTACAGCACGAATACTTTTTCTTATACTAAATGACGGCAGGTAGACAGTGTAAGCTATATATCTGAAATGTTCTGATTGTCTTTGGTTTCTCGTAATGATGCAGACGCTCAGGACAGATCCAATGACTGGGTAATTGGTAACAGAATTAGATGCCTTGTTTGAATTCAGTCAGAGGCAGTCTGTGTGGACAGAGAGAGGACGAGAAACACAAGCAGAACGAGATCTGAGCTTCAGCGTAACAGAACCGTTCTACAGCGCGTTCAAATGAAAGAAGAAAAACTAAAGATCGATGGACGGACCAAAGAATGGATAGGAGTGCATAAAAGAAAATGAAGACTATCTTAGGACCATTTAGTATTTTTGTTCTACATTATGACTTTATGTTCAAGGAAATTAAGCAGATTTACCCACCAAAGTCTCATTATTGCAAAGAATCTGGACATTTTACTTTTACTTGGTTTTTTCTCTCATTACTATAATACAGTATTTCTTTACTGAAAATACCGTGTAGCGTCTGGACCAATCAAACACACAATTTTTCATTTGATTATGAGCTGATTCGCTACAACCGAATTACTAAACTCTCAGCCAACAAACAAACCCCAAGTATATAAAATAAATCTAAACAGCATATTAACAATCATTATCAGAACTGCTTTATAATTATTATTATCATTAGATTTTGATAGTTTATGTAACATAACATGTATATGCAAATTTAAAGTGGAATATATACATTCATTAGTAATTAACAGAATTTAATATCAATCAAAATATGTGATATATCAAAAATATTTATATATATTGATACAAACTTTTTATATATATATAGAGTTGACATATATTCTGACTGATATATATGCATTACAGTACATGTCTGTTAATGACTAATAAAAGTGAAATACTTTTAATTCAATTATGCGTTCTTATACATCAATTATTTTGTCAATTCTATTATATTCAGGAAACTGGTCAGCATAACATCATAGGGCTGTCACTCACTAATGATTATTTTGGTAACCGACTAATCGGTCGATTATTCTGATGATTAATCGAGTAATCAGATTTTTTTTTTTGTGGTAATAAAAATAGACCTAAGCGAACAATAGACTTTAAAATGACTTAAAATACATATATAATAGCAATGAGGCAATAATAATGGGTTCAAATAAAATATCAAAAGCAAGTAATCATATTGTTTTATTAAACAAAGTTAACTACATAATGTAATAAAACAATATAATCAACTTATGTACATTACATCAGCATACAGTTTATTAAAAGCAATAAAACAAATGCTACCTTAATGTATAGGCCTAAACACTTTATTTAAATCTGTTTTATTTTAATATATTTTTTACATATTACAGTAATGACAATTAACTTTTTTTTAAATTAATGTTTTGGGAGGAAATGTCAAAAAAATAAATTTTTATAAAAATCATAAAAAGTTTCATAAAAATATCTACAGAAAAAAACGTAAATCCTAAAAATAAATATTTTATATATATATATATATATGAAGCGGTTCAGAGATCAGTGTGCTGATGTTTCCTGCGCTACAGCAAACTCTGCTCCAGTCTGTTATTCCGGTGGATTGGGTTTGACTCTAGTGTAAGCGATTCAACGCTTCTGTACAAAGGCTGTGAACATCAAAGGACCCGCGAGAGAACAGCGAGCTGTGAAACTCTCAACCTGAAGGAGTTTCAGAACAGCTGCAGGACTGAGAAATGCAACTCTATCTAGCTCTGTTTGCCTGGTTCTGTTCCCGCGGGTCAGAGAGACGCACCCGAGCTCTCAGTGACACGACTGAACTGAAACTCAAGCCCGGCTTTAATTAAGAGACATTTAACGTAAGTAATACTTCACAGTAAGCTCAGGTCACAGGCCACATCCAACTTCACATACACAGCAAATGCGAAAAACAACTCACAACTCAACAATCAGCTCTGCTCCAGTTCAGCTCATGAGTGAGAATTTGAACTGAATCGGCCAAAGCACAGGAAACTGAACGAGAATGAGAATAACAGGAAAATGAACCTATTCAATTAGAATTAAAATTCAGATGATGAAAGTAAGTGTTCTTCCACCCTAGAGATCGAACTATCTATCTATTTATCTATCTATCTATCTATCTATCATCATCCAGCCACTCATCAATCCATCCATCCATCTATCTAGCCATTCATCATCCATCCATCCAGCCACTCATCAATCCATTCATCATCCAGCCACTCATCAATCCATCCATCCATCTATCTAGCCATCCATCATCCATCCATCCATCCAGCCACTCATCAATCCATTCATCCATCCATCCATCCATCTAGCCATTGATCCATTCATCCAACCATCCATCCATCCATCCATCTAGCCATTCATCATCCATCCATAAATTTTTCTAGCCATTCATCATTCATCTATCTATCCAATCATCCATCCATCCATCCCTCCATCCAATAATCCATCCATCCATTGATCCATTTATTTATTGATCAATTCATTCATCCATCCATCAATCCATTCATTCAGCCATCCAGCCAGTCATTATCCATCCATAAACCTATCTATCTAGCCATCCATCCATTCATTCATTATCCGCCCGTCCGTCTATCTATCTATCTATCTATCTATCTGCAGTCCTTTCTGATATATCTGTTGCACTTTCCTCATTCACACAATCAACATTCATCATCAGTGATATTCACAGGACCTTCATGAACGCAGGAGAGTTTGTGGCATGTGTTTGGGTCACACTTCTTGCAGGCAAACAAATGTTGAGATTCAAGGCTACAGAGAGGCCGAAATGGCGCTCGCCCACGTCTGTACCTGCTGTGTCTCTGACAAACAAACCCACTCATATTCTAATGCGGTTTCATCACATGCTCTAATGCCGTCCTGCGGCTGTGACCCGATGCCCCGCTGCAGGTTTATAGCGCTCAGGAAAATTAAACACTGCTAGCCAGAGGCCAATGTCTCAAATGAAATTGTTAAATCCCCCATGATGCACTAATGAGGAAGAGGATAAGGCTCACTTCCTGTGTCAACAGGTCTGTTTTGAGCAGGACGGCATGAGTGCGTGTTTCTAATTCTGAACAGGACATGCTATACAGATATGAAAGATCTGAAAGATTACAACACAATAAGGTCAGAACAAGATGTACTGAAACAAGCAAAACTGTTCTGAAACAGACATTGCTTTTGATCTTTATGATACTGAAATAAAACGTGTAAGTACAAATTTATGCATGTGTTTATGCTTTTATAATGTTCAAAGGAATAGTTCACCCAAAAATGAATATTTGCAGAAAATATGCTCACCCTTGCTTGATCTGTGCAGATTCTTTCCTGATTCAGACCAGATTACTTTTTCACTGGAGGAAGGGTTATTTTAGCCGGAAGTAACAGTTTTAAAATTTAAAATGTCTTAATGATAGATTTGTTTCAGCTTTTATCTTCTCCAGTTGTTAATTGATGGACTGGAGTGCTGTGGATTACTTGTGGATTATTGTGATGTTTTTATCAGCTGTTTGGACTCTCATTCTGACGGCACCCATTCACTGCAGAGCATCCATTGCTGAGACACTGATGCAATGCTACATTTCTCCAAATCTGATGAAAAAACAAACTCATCTATCTTGGATGGCCTGAAGGATTTTCATTTTTGTGTGAACTATTCCTTTAAGACGACACAAAGTAGCCAGGATCACAACACACGGTTCAGTGTAAGTCTATCTGCCAATGTCATTTCATACATACTAAATTGCATTTGTATTTAACCTGAAGTGATGCAATTAGGTTAATTTGGTTTCCTTATCATTTACACACTGTCATGTCTTTCCAAACCTGTCAATGACACCAGAAGTAATTGGTTCTCGTGTCCTGTGACCAATTGAAACACAGTGGAAGGAGATTTGAGAGCTCAGATTTTCAGCAAATGATTATTTATTATACAGTATGATAAATATATAGTGCACAAGTCAAATAAACTACTTTATAATACTTTTTTGGAGCTTGACGGCATCTGTCCTCATGTACTTTGAGTGAATGGAAAGATACTCATTGTAAACTATTGTTTTAATGAGTTCTAAACCACCAGATGATTTCTGACAGATGCACCTGCTGATGTTTAATGTAATGACCGGTTCTGCTTTAATCGCAGTCTATTCAGAGGAAAAACTGCATTAGAGAAACAAACATGCGCTGCCCGTGGCGTAAACCGGTTGTGTCATAACGTTCTTCACCTTTATGAGCTCGCTGATGTGTGAGATGTTTGAGGACGTCAGTTTGCCCCCCGTATGTTCAGTGGTGACGCTCTAAACTCGCTCTCTGTGTTTCTATTCCTAAATCTGTCTGTCGAAGCCCAAGGGACGATTCCTTCCGCCCCAGTCCCCATCACTTATTCATGGATACAGTCCACGATGAACTTTTGAACATTGGGAAAATGTATCATAAATGTTTATAGATAGATAGATAGATAGATAGATAGATAATTTATAGAGCTCTATAAAATTCAATTTATTTATTTAATTTTTTTCTGCATTCTGTATTAATGGTTTAATTTACATTTAATTCTCAAAAAAGGTACCTAATCAACTGAATAGAAATAAAAAAAAAAAATCAATAATTTATTAAAATCTTAAAACTAATAGTGCCATATGAAATTAATGTATTTATTTATCTATCTATCAGAAATTCAGAAATTTATTTAATTCTTCTGGAAATTCTGTGTTTTATGAAATTCTGTGTTTTATGATTTAATACCCATAAATGTTTATAGATAGATAGATAGATAGATAGATAGATAGATAGATAATTTATAGAGCTCTATAAAATTCAATTTATTTATTTATTTATTTTATTTTTTTCTGCATTCTGTATTAATGGTTTAATTTACATTTAATTCTCAAAAAAGGTACCTAATCAACTGAATAGAAATAAAAAAAAAAATCAATAATTTAATAAAATCTTAACACTAATAGTGCCATATGAAATTAATGTATTTATTTATCTATCTATCAGAAATTCAGAAATTTATTTAATTCTTCTGGAAATTCTGTGTTTTATGAAATTCTGTGTTTTATGATTTAATACCAGTGTTTTGGTATCATTGAGATACTATTATAGTTTTTATTAAGATTTTCAATTGCTTTTTATTTTTATGTTTTCTGCTTTCATTGTAATGTTAGTTAAAGGTTTAGTAATTTTGCTGTTTTTGTCATTTTTGTTAGTTTTTTTTTCTTAAATATGTCTATAGTTTTCATTATTTATTATTTCAGTTTTAGTTTTAGTTATTTTAGACCATCAAGTTAAATAAAATGAAAAATGAGAAATGATGCCTTGGCAACTACCTGAAATTAATACATTTAAGTTTTTTTTTTTTTTTTTTCATTTTAATTTCTTTCAGCTATTTTGATTTATTTAATTTATTTTTATTCAACTATAATAACCCTGTTTAATACAAATGTATTGTTCAAAACACTGACAACCATATGAATGCATAAAACTTTAATTTTAACTTTTAAAAGAAAAAAAAATCCTTTAAAAATGTAATCAAATAAAATTTGAACAATTTCATGTCAAAGGCTTATTCATAATAAATGCAAAACAAATCACTGTCAAAATGTCCATTTGACCAGACCAGAACATTCAAGTTAAATGAAAACCAGATTTACTCACTCAAGAAATTGTTTACAATGAAAATTCATGAATGTTTTGACTTTTATTATTCAATTTAAAGCATGTATTATAGTCAACTACTGAGCCATTTTATAATTTGCATTTTAATTACTTGCATTTGTTAAAGTTGGTGGTTAATTTTGAACCCTGAATTTAAATGCACAGGAATAAAATAAGACATATACTCACTTTGAGGAGTCGGTGAAGTAAATCACAAGTGCTCCGATGCTCAGAGCAAAGACAAGCACCACCTGAAACACACAAGACAACAAAACACGTCTGTTACTTTAAATGAAACAGTGACATGCTGTCAATTAGCACTGTTTATAAAAGCAAACACTTCTTTAAACGTTCGTGTGTGTGTGTGTGTGTGTGCAAGTGCTCCCTCAGAGCAAAGACAAGCACCACCTGAAACACACAAGACAACAAAACACGTCTGTTACTTTAAATGAAACAGTGACATGCTGTCAATTAGCACTGTTTATAAAAGCAAACACTTCTTTAAACGTTCGTGCGTGCG